ATTTATAGTTTTAATCATTTATCATCTAATTTATCATTTATCGCTGTTTACATTTTTTTTTTTTTTTGCATATTATTAGCATTAATTTCTTTTGCTTATATTTTCTTAATTAACAATGCATATTGATAATTAAAAAAAATACTTAATTAAATTAAAATTTTATGCAAATCAAACCATCAGAAATGAATGCATAACGACCGCGAAATTTTATACCATTTCGTTGATTGGATGCAGTTCTTGAATGAAATACTAATACTATGACACGATTTAAACTGAAATTAAAAAAAAAAAAAAAGAAAAAGAAAAAGAAAATCAAGTTATTCATTTTAAATTAAAAATTATTAGAAGTGTGATTGTAAGTAAATTTGCAAAATTATTTAAAGTATGATTATAGGTCAATTTGTAAAAACATTTAAAATATAATTATAAGTAAATTTATAAAACTATTTAAAACATAATTATGAGTAAATTTGATAAGTGTTAAAGTTATCAATGAAAAAAAAGAGTGTACTTTAAAAAATCGAACGAAAAATTAAATTTTATAAATTAGAGAAAATCGAATGAAAAAATTTAATTTTGTAAATTAAAGACACATTTCAAAAAAATCAAATTTTATAAATTAAATTACAAATTAATTTTGCGATATAAGAAATAAAATACGAATTGAATTATTGTCTAGCCGTTAATAAATTGAAAAAAAAAATACATTTTTTAATTAGACTTTCTGTTTTCGTTTTTAATCCAAATTTAAATTCATTATTGTAAATTAATGGTTATTAAAGGAGACGACAATAAATTTTTTTTTTACTTTTAACATTAAATTAATTAATTACCTAATCCTGACATACGGTGATATACTACCACAATATCGACCACCAAAAGCAGCAGAAAGCAAATCATCATCAGGTTCCTCTAATTCCGAATATATATCAACATATTCCGTTTCACAGCTAAAATAAATATTTGCATAATTAATTAATTTACATATATATGTACATATTAAATATAATTCTGGCCTATTTTTAGGCCTTCATATTAAAATTTAAGCCTGCTTATTAATTAATTCTCATTTCAAATTTCAAATTTGTTTATTAATTAACTTTTGTTTGAAAACTTTAGCTAATTTATCTGAAATATTTTTTTTTTTACTCGTTCATTTATTGTATCAAATTTTCTATCATGCAATTTTGAAGTATAAATTTTTAATGAAAAAATCTTTTTATTTGGCTTTTGTTTTATAAATTATTTCATTTACTACTTTGAAATTTTACAACAAAAAAAAAAAGGTAAATTTTAAAGCTTACCAAAAAATAAAAATTTACATAAGAATTCAAGAAATAATTTCCATTTGTTAAATTTATGCAAATTTATTTCAAAAAAATTAATTAACAATTTTTACAATTGAATTCGTAAAGTTTGCGAAGTTTTAATTTTTCATTTAAATTTCTTACCAATTTAATTAACCATCATTTCTTTTTCCCCTATAATAATAAAAATCAAGAGAGAGAGAGAGAGAGAGAGAGAGAGAGAGAAG